AGGTGGTAATCAGGTAGTAATCAGTTTAAAATCGGGTACCTGATTTGTGTCTGATTTTTCATCTTTCGACCTGTGTTTAGAATAATATAATTCGAAATTTTTTAAAAGGATTTATCTTTGATTAAATCCTAATGTAATTATGTAATTTTGCCGCATCATCTAATTCTCAAAACCTTGATTAGTTTTTCTCAAAATTAAAATTGCAATTCTTTGAGATTATTAACCAAATTTTTCCTCGGAAAATTTTAGAATTAAATAATTTGTTACAATATCAAAAAGATAGTTCTGTAACTATTCTTAATTTTTCTCCTTTGGTTCAAAATGATGATGCAAAATCTCGTAAACGATGTAGAAAAATAATGATAAAATAATGTTTTTGAATAATGATTATTTTTGTATCAGAATTACATAAAATTCTTAAAAACGAAGTTGCTTGTTTCGCTGGAAATTTTTGTAAATTGAAAGCTTGGGTTACTCTTAAATATCCAAGGTTTGATGGTGCTAAATAATCGTATATTATCTTGTAAAAATTAACCTAATCTTAATATGTAGAATTAGCACTGAAGAAAATCTAAAAATTTCTGCTCAAAAAAGTATACTTATAGTTAAAATATTTGCAGAATTATCACGCATTGAAGACAGCTCGTTTTTATTCTTAGACAGCATTACAATTACCAAATTATGCAAGTAAGGTACAGGTCCTATAATCATATAAAATTATTAACCTACATATCGGCTTTATACTTTCTTCGCTAATATATATTCATAAAGGACATAATCAGTGTTGTCATGGGACAGCTTTGGACAAATTGTGGACAATTTTATTAAATTTTAAAGTCTAAATATTCTTTGGACAATTGTGGATACTGTGGACGTGGACATAGGCAAAAAAAGCCTTGGACATAGTAGAGACAATACTGCAACACTTGATTAGCATTCTCCAATTATGAAATGTTACAAAAAATATGAATAACTTATTTTTTATATAATTATCACAAAATAATTTTGATCAAAATTGTTTTTGTTCGCATAATATCTTCTCGTATATTGTACCAATTAGTAGCTTTTATATTAATTATTGACCGAATTTTTCGGCAGAAGAATATGAAATATTTCAAAAAAGGTCGAGTATAGTTGTTTGTGACGCTAATTGTCACATTTCCAAACTTAATACAAGTCACTCTCGTAATAGTGAAGTGATCAGGTTGCTAGATTTTCTTCATTATGTAAACAGGTCTTCACTGTAATGAGAGTGACTTGTATAAATTAGATTAAATTTTTAGGTCTTTGTATTTTATGTCAGGTGATAATTAACATCACATGGTTTCGTCTAACAACTATTATAAGAATATATTTTATTACTATTTGTCTATTATATAAATATTTTAAAAAATAATAAAAATTGCTTATTACTTTTATTTTGTTTCAAGTTTTCTCATTTTAGAAGCTTAAAATAATTTTTGTTTTGGGTGAGGTGAGAAAGATTCAAGCTAAATAAATAATTTGCATCTAATAAAGTTGATTTTGAATTTATGAATCATTTGAAACCACCACGTTTAACATTTTTTGAATTATTTGTGACATGTGAATCTAAAAATTGTTTAACTTCAGTAAAGAGATTAACAATATCTTCATTTTTGAACTCAAATTTAACTTTTTTTTTTTTTTGTCTAAATAACAGGTAATACACCATCATAAATTTTGCTTCATTTGCAACATGTTTAGAATCTTTTGCAAGTTCAGAAAAGTCATCTCAGGCATTTTTAAATTTATTATCACTGTGAAATACAAATGCTTCATTAAGCTTAATATAATCACCAACATTATAAGACAAAGACATATTGTCGTATGTATAGAAGATATTTCCGTATCGTTATAACAAAACACAACATATATATATTGATTCCTATAATCATTTTGTTGATTAAACTTAATGAATTTATCTCCCTTTATTTAATTTCGTTTATTAGTATTGTACGTGAATTTAGATCTATGGTTGTAAAGAAAAAAATTTGACAATTGTTATTAATTGACAAACCAATTTAATGAAAAAAAAAACAGTATGAAAATTAACTATTTGAAAAATGAGTTTATTGAATACATCCAATTACAGTACATTAATTCACAAATTGATATTTATTTATATTTCATAGAACAATTATAAAATTAATTATAAAATGCATCTATAGTTAGGGTGTTACAAATCGGTTTAATCACAAACATGGGTATTTCATATACTAATTAATCAAATTCTATTAGTAAAAAAAGTTACAGTTTTAAATTTTTATTAAGTTTATTTAAAAATTCTTTAATTGCTGATCTGGATAAAATCGGCATAAATTTATTATATAAATTTGGGGGGAAATTATCGATTTTACTATTATATAATAAAGAATATTAAAAATATCGAAAAGGCAAAGTACAAGAAAATCGTTGATAACTGGTTTTTATTATACAAATAGCCTAATTAAGAA